CCAGTTCCTACTCTGGGGAAGAATGACTCTTCAATACATTGTGCTCAACAGAGAGAGACCCACTAAATGCGGCTAAGAAGTTAGGGGTAAACCAGGATATCCAAGAGGATACGTGACAGGACCCACAAAAGGTCATCGGTTATGGACTATGAATCCGAAACTTTTATTTTGTTCAGCACAAGGTTCTATCACGTTAGGTGAAAGCAAATGCAGTCAAGCTGGCGCGCTGTCCCATGAAGATGGGCTTAAAGCATCTACTTGCCGTCAAAACCTGACCTCCTGGACTTCCGATTAAACTTTTTTTCAAAGTTTTGCACAGACCGGAGGAAAAAGTCGACAAAGCTTCAGCAAAAGCCAACTTTGAAATCTGGTGATGACAGGCCAAAGTTAACCCAATTGCATACGGCCATCTGACAGCAGTTGCCAAGTGGTTGGCCATAGTACCTCATGGATAGCTTTAAGGGTCGGAGAAGAATTTTTCCATAACTAATCCATTTTGAGCTGATCGAGGATATATCACATCATCCTCGCTGCAGAAATCTTGTAACCACTAATTACCGCATAGATAAGTGATATGGTGCGAAAGGTCAGTTTAGTAGCTGTGAATATGACCAAGGGAACTCAAGGGAAATGATGCAGCTTAGGTTTTAGTCGTCCCGTCTCAGCACCAAGATAATCAGCCCTACATTTGTTCACACTTACAACAAACGACATAGTTACCTACATGAAGCAGAGAAAATTGGCAGTCATGGCTGCTAAGAGGATTATCCGTGATAAAGTTTGTGGTCTGATACTGAGTTATTTTTTCTGACCTATCCAGTTCCTACTCTGGGGAAGAATGACTCTTCAATACATTGTGCTCAACAGAGAGAGACCCACTAAATGCGGCTAAGAAGTTAGGGGTAAACCAGGATATCCAAGAGGATACGTGACAGGACCCACAAAAGGTCATCGGTTATGGACTATGAATCCGAAACTTTTATTTTGTTCAGCACAAGGTTCTATCACGTTAGGTGAAAGCAAATGCAGTCAAGCTGGCGCGCTGTCCCATGAAGATGGGCTTAAAGCATCTACTTGCCGTCAAAACCTGACCTCCTGGACTTCCGATTAAACTTTTTTTCAAAGTTTTGCACAGACCGGAGGAAAAAGTCGACAAAGCTTCAGCAAAAGCCAACTTTGAAATCTGGTGATGACAGGCCAAAGTTAACCCAATTGCATACGGCCATCTGACAGCAGTTGCCAAGTGGTTGGCCATAGTACCTCATGGATAGCTTTAAGGGTCGGAGAAGAATTTTTCCGTAACTAATCCATTTTGAGCTGATCGAGGATATATCACATCATCCTCGCTGCAGAAATCTTGTAACCACTAATTACCGCATAGATAAGTGATATGGTGCGAAAGGTCAGTTTAGTAGCTGTGAATATGACCAAGGGAACTCAAGGGAAATGATGCAGCTTAGGTTTTAGTCGTCCCGTCTCAGCACCAAGATAATCAGCCCTACATTTGTTCACACTTACAACAAACGACATAGTTACCTACATGAAGCAGAGAAAATTGGCAGTCATGGCTGCTAAGAGGATTATCCGTGATAAAGTTTGTGGTCTGATACTGAGTTATTTTTTCTGACCTATCCAGTTCCTACTCTGGGGAAGAATGACTCTTCAATACATTGTGCTCAACAGAGAGAGACCCACTAAATGCGGCTAAGAAGTTAGGGGTAAACCAGGATATCCAAGAGGATACGTGACAGGACCCACAAAAGGTCATCGGTTATGGACTATGAATCCGAAACTTTTATTTTGTTCAGCACAAGGTTCTATCACGTTAGGTGAAAGCAAATGCAGTCAAGCTGGCGCGCTGTCCCATGAAGATGGGCTTAAAGCATCTACTTGCCGTCAAAACCTGACCTCCTGGACTTCCGATTAAACTTTTTTTCAAAGTTTTGCACAGACCGGAGGAAAAAGTCGACAAAGCTTCAGCAAAAGCCAACTTTGAAATCTGGTGATGACAGGCCAAAGTTAACCCAATTGCATACGGCCATCTGACAGCAGTTGCCAAGTGGTTGGCCATAGTACCTCATGGATAGCTTTAAGGGTCGGAGAAGAATTTTTCCGTAACTAATCCATTTTGAGCTGATCGAGGATATATCACATCATCCTCGCTGCAGAAATCTTGTAACCACTAATTACCGCATAGATAAGTGATATGGTGCGAAAGGTCAGTTTAGTAGCTGTGAATATGACCAAGGGAACTCAAGGGAAATGATGCAGCTTAGGTTTTAGTCGTCCCGTCTCAGCACCAAGATAATCAGCCCTACATTTGTTCACACTTACAACAAACGACATAGTTACCTACATGAAGCAGAGAAAATTGGCAGTCATGGCTGCTAAGAGGATTATCCGTGATAAAGTTTGTGGTCTGATACTGAGTTATTTTTTCTGACCTATCCAGTTCCTACTCTGGGGAAGAATGACTCTTCAATACATTGTGCTCAACAGAGAGAGACCCACTAAATGCGGCTAAGAAGTTAGGGGTAAACCAGGATATCCAAGAGGATACGTGACAGGACCCACAAAAGGTCATCGGTTATGGACTATGAATCCGAAACTTTTATTTTGTTCAGCACAAGGTTCTATCACGTTAGGTGAAAGCAAATGCAGTCAAGCTGGCGCGCTGTCCCATGAAGATGGGCTTAAAGCATCTACTTGCCGTCAAAACCTGACCTCCTGGACTTCCGATTAAACTTTTTTTCAAAGTTTTGCACAGACCGGAGGAAAAAGTCGACAAAGCTTCAGCAAAAGCCAACTTTGAAATCTGGTGATGACAGGCCAAAGTTAACCCAATTGCATACGGCCATCTGACAGCAGTTGCCAAGTGGTTGGCCATAGTACCTCATGGATAGCTTTAAGGGTCGGAGAAGAATTTTTCCGTAACTAATCCATTTTGAGCTGATCGAGGATATATCACATCATCCTCGCTGCAGAAATCTTGTAACCACTAATTACCGCATAGATAAGTGATATGGTGCGAAAGGTCAGTTTAGTAGCTGTGAATATGACCAAGGGAACTCAAGGGAAATGATGCAGCTTAGGTTTTAGTCGTCCCGTCTCAGCACCAAGATAATCAGCCCTACATTTGTTCACACTTACAACAAACGACATAGTTACCTACATGAAGCAGAGAAAATTGGCAGTCATGGCTGCTAAGAGGATTATCCGTGATAAAGTTTGTGGTCTGATACTGAGTTATTTTTTCTGACCTATCCAGTTCCTACTCTGGGGAAGAATGACTCTTCAATACATTGTGCTCAACAGAGAGAGACCCACTAAATGCGGCTAAGAAGTTAGGGGTAAACCAGGATATCCAAGAGGATACGTGACAGGACCCACAAAAGGTCATCGGTTATGGACTATGAATCCGAAACTTTTATTTTGTTCAGCACAAGGTTCTATCACGTTAGGTGAAAGCAAATGCAGTCAAGCTGGCGCGCTGTCCCATGAAGATGGGCTTAAAGCATCTACTTGCCGTCAAAACCTGACCTCCTGGACTTCCGATTAAACTTTTTTTCAAAGTTTTGCACAGACCGGAGGAAAAAGTCGACAAAGCTTCAGCAAAAGCCAACTTTGAAATCTGGTGATGACAGGCCAAAGTTAACCCAATTGCATACGGCCATCTGACAGCAGTTGCCAAGTGGTTGGCCATAGTACCTCATGGATAGCTTTAAGGGTCGGAGAAGAATTTTTCCGTAACTAATCCATTTTGAGCTGATCGAGGATATATCACATCATCCTCGCTGCAGAAATCTTGTAACCACTAATTACCGCATAGATAAGTGATATGGTGCGAAAGGTCAGTTTAGTAGCTGTGAATATGACCAAGGGAACTCAAGGGAAATGATGCAGCTTAGGTTTTAGTCGTCCCGTCTCAGCACCAAGATAATCAGCCCTACATTTGTTCACACTTACAACAAACGACATAGTTACCTACATGAAGCAGAGAAAATTGGCAGTCATGGCTGCTAAGAGGATTATCCGTGATAAAGTTTGTGGTCTGATACTGAGTTATTTTTTCTGACCTATCCAGTTCCTACTCTGGGGAAGAATGACTCTTCAATACATTGTGCTCAACAGAGAGAGACCCACTAAATGCGGCTAAGAAGTTAGGGGTAAACCAGGATATCCAAGAGGATACGTGACAGGACCCACAAAAGGTCATCGGTTATGGACTATGAATCCGAAACTTTTATTTTTTTCGGCACATGATGGCGACTTTGCCAAAACCGCATATCTTCAATTTTTATTACATGCTGGAACCGTTGTTATTTATTAGCTTGTTTGTGTGTGTCATCTGGCTTTTGGAAGGTACCGTTGGCTGCGCTGAATATACCGAATCCGCTTTCAGAGATGTTTTCGGCGAAAAGCCACTTTGAAATATCTTTGGGTCCTGTCTTCGCAACAGCTGAGCAAATTTCTTCTAAATAATGTCTACTTTCGATGTCTGTGGGGGAAGCTTAAAGACTTCCGTCATAAGTCGGTCAGCAGCTGAAGATCACGGTCCTCCTGCAGCACAACATGATGTGAACTACAAAAAACGTGAAAAAGTGGTAGCAAGAGCTGAAGCTTGGGACGCAAGTTCAGATGAACTTATCCTAAAACGGCTACAAGACTTTAAAAGGACGACCTAAACATTCAGGCTTTGAACCTCATGATGGATGTAAGGCGTTGTCGAAACTGGGCAACAGTTCTTTTATGGATTATGCGAACTACTGAAAAGGAATGTGTTGATGGGAAAGGATTATTGAGTGCTTTTCACTAAGTGAGGTTATCAAGGAAAATGAATAACATCCTGGGGTGGGGGGGCAACTTAACACTGAGATGTAGAAAGATGACATTGCTTGCGACAAACTCTGACAAAAAGTCTTTCCGAAGTGCAGAAACCCTTTTCTATTCATAAGCTGCTCTATTTACATAATTAGTTAGAATGCACTGAAAGATAATTTCTCTGATTTACCAAAAGGCGGTAATTTATTTCCTCTTCGTTACTATAAGCGGATTACAATGATACCTGAAGGTCTGCAGGAATTACTTGAGAAGTTCACTGAGAGAGTTATCAAGGAGAGACCGAATAATTTAATTGAATTCGCGTCAAATTATTTTGACAACCTTTTACAAGAATCAAGAAAAAGTGCTTTCGAACGCAAGTTTATTTATTTTTTATTTTTTATTTATTTATTTTTTATTTATTTTTTTTTTTTTATTTTTTTTTTTTTATTTTTTATTTTTTATTTTTTTTATTTATTTTTTATTTTACCCAGTTGACTTGTGATTCTATGTGGTGCATCAATAATTAGTTCCACGATTTGCTTCTTTAAAACAGATAGAATAGAGTTTTGCATCGAATATTTTGTTGTGAATTCAAATTGTCAGGGATTCACATAAATGGGTAAACACTCACGTATAATCAGGTCTCAGTATTTTTAGTACATTTTTCATATTATTTTGATAGACATTTTGGTTCTTCTTTACCCCTGCTTATCATTCAAGTCGGTGTTTTTTTCCAATGGTCATTTAGACAGGTTTAGAAGTGAATGCGAATAAATCAGTTCGTTTATACAAGCTCGTAACATATATATTGGATGTAAGAGGTCTAGTTAAACTTCAGAACCAATAACTCGAGGAGTAGTTTCGCTCAGTATCTTCACCTTTTTGACATTCCGGTTAGAGTAGTCGGTTCATATTCTGGGTTTTGTCAGGTTATATGAATAGGTTGGTTGAAGCATGTGTATATAATCATGGTTTCTTGAAACAGACCTGTTGTTTTGTAGGGCTTTCGACATCAAACTGATTACCTAAGACAGAAGCAAACCTGTAGAACAAGTCTTCTAGAAAAAAAATACTGCTACTTCATGTGTCTCAGGGAAACCTAAATACCCCTCTATACTAATACTTCCAAAATATGACCTGGGAATATCAGTGATGAAATTGTGAAAACTCAGAATTTGGAGTCTTAACTGCTTCACTCATTTTTAGGCTTTTATCACTTTGGAAGGCGAAAATGATGAGTTTTTAGTCAATCTTAGTAATGTCAAAATTTCACATATGTATTGACTTCTTGGATATTAGGTTTAGGTCATAGTAAATAAAACTTATTGTGGCTGCTGTGTTTCTAATCGATCGTTTGAGTTCAGCTAAAGGCCGCGTCGTTCAGATATCTACGTCTATAAACCTTAGGTAACAAAGTTGATCATTGGGATGCTTGGCGAGTTCAGTATACCAATATTTAAGGTGGAATACATCAGAATATTGCCTCTGGTTGGTATTATGTGTTTTGTAAGAGTTCCTCAAAAATGTTTAGGACGTTTTATTGGTAGCATTAGGGTCACTTGTAATGTTTGTGCATGCAGAGCTTGCGCATTAACAATATTTCAAATGCATACCAATTCAACCGTTGATTAGCGTATTTGGCGTTTTAGTACATCTTTTATTCTGATATTACTCTGGTTGCAGTAAGTGAGGAAGATGTTAGGAGTGACTGATGTGCAGTGCAGCACAAATTTATTGAGTCACCTTAATTTACCTGTGAAATTGTTGGCTCCGTGTCTAGGATATTCAAATGTCTAAACACTTTTCAGGAGCGTTAATACATACGAGGTCAAATAGGCTGTATTAACTGCTAAATTCTCTCACTACTTTTCTTTGTTATCCTTAATACCTTATAAGTTTCATTTCACCGTGCTTTTCCGGATTATTAAGCTTCCATTACGAATTCCCCAAACTTTGTCTTCGTGGAGCTCAGTGACTTCAGACCACTAGCTTTTTCAGCTAGCTTCATCGCTGTGTTCGTTTTCGCTATAAAATAACCATTTAGGTTCAAAGACTACCTGGGCATAATATCTAGTGATTACAAGAGTATTTGGTTACCAGCAAATTTTTCTGACTCATTCCTGTTTCAAAGATGTTGCATTGTGGTCACGTATTAGACTAAGGGATTTTATCACTGACTATAAGGTAAACAACTTACTACGGTAGATTGGAAGGATAATGGTAACAGTGATATTGCCATAAGATGACAAAATAATTCGACTCACGTGGATTGCTGATATTTGCGCATATTTTTATTACTATCGAGTGTGAAATCAGGTAATATAGACAAGTAAAAATGACCGCAGGCATAAGACGGGGTGGGGTCAACAAATATCTTCCTTCGTTCATATAGGATCTTAGGTAGTTAACTCAACTTTACAGTGTGAGACTTTTTACGAATTCACTGTAGTAACGATTTCTTGAGGGATTAAGGTCTGAAATATCACGACCACTAGATAGAAAATACATTAAAATTTAAAAGGTAAGTACAAAACTAAAAAACCAATCACTACGAAAACGATGTGGTTTTCTTTAAAATGTAGACAGATTTCTTTAGGCAAAGCCTGACAGATGTACTGAAAACTTATCGGTAACGGTAAAGTGAATTTTTCTTTCTATCTAACCATCATGATACGACAGAGCAGAGTGCCTTAGTCTGAATCCAAGCAATATCTTAACATCAGAGATAGAAAAAATACGATCGAAAATCGATTTGTCGAATAAAGGTCAAAGAAACTTATTTTTCAGCAATACATCGATCAGGGAAAACGAAAGAAGTTAGATACCCAAATTTTGTTCATCTTGTATGAATTTTTGTCGATGCTTATAAAGAGTACCCTCACAGTTCTTCATCTCTCTACGCAACAGGGGAGAAGAAATCTAGACTGAAGCTGAAAGCTCTACTCAGAAATTTATATTTTGAGGCATGAAAAACTACCAAAAAGTGATGTACTATAACGAAAACAGTTTGTTTTGCATTTTTTTCATCATTACAGCATCGGTTTTGTTGAGTGACATATGCACTTTTACATTTGATTTTGTTTCCGTCTGTCTTTTTCCTCAGTCTATAGGGAAGTAATAGTGAATCCGACTTTGATGTTTTTGCGTTGAATCAGACACAATAAAAACTATCAAGCTATCTGCGCTTTTTTGAAAATGATAAAGTAAACTAATAGGAATGCTAGGTTGTAAAACAGCTATTCCAGGAGGTGTTTACCTTCTTGAAACTACCTTATGTGACTGAACAACTGGAACACAATAAAGGTAACATTTGGCTCTATTTATCATTAAGTGGATAGAACACATGCCTATTTTTCAGCCAGTTTATCGGGTTTAAAGCTAGTTCTGAACATTTGTTGTTAGAATAAGTACAGAATATCTTCTGAAAATACGTTTGAGCCCCCATACAGCTAGGCAAGTTTCATACCTGGTGGTGGATATCTTAACCAGATCATCACTCTCTCTGAAGTTTTGGAACACAAGCGCACATGTCGGTGCATAACGTAAGCTGTGTTTCTTGATCCAAAGGTAGCATCTGACTATGTCAAATGAGAGAATTTATATCAGTGTCTCTCATTCAAAATGGTTCCAGTTAGGTATATCACTGTTATAAAGGTTGCATATTCGAGCAGTGTGTGTGTGTGATGAGTTGTCAGGTGAGTTGTATGCATCAAGGGGTGTCTATCAGAGGTGTTTAACGTCCCTATTTATATTTAACATCATAACGGACATGTTCACGCCGGTGTCTATCTTCTCATCTAAATTTACAGGGACTAACTTTATCAGTGAAGACTCATTAGTAAAACTAGAGTATACCGATTATAGGCCTACTAAGTGAAGATGATGACACTATGTAGAGTTTTCTCGACACACTGAGTAGCAATTCTAGGTTATCTAGGATGTAGTTCTCACCACAATATACCGCGCATCAATTGTAGGCACGTGTTAGTTTTACTTTTCGATCAGTAAGGAGTGAAGTTTAGGATTGACAGTCTTTAGAAACAAGAAATCAGTAACCGAATAATTAAATAACCTTGAGCACTTGAAATGCCCTCAAAGTGTAATTTATTGGTTTAATCTGCACATTCCTCAGTAATCCATCATCTTAAATGGTATATTTGTAGGGCTTTCATTGTCTTTGATATTTACCTGAGGTTGTGATCAACTGACGTTTAGTGTACTCCTTATGCACCATTATTATGATTGAGAAAAATGAATATCTTTATGTGAAAAGGTATCCTGTGCAGACATAAAACCGAACTTTAATGCGACTGCTGTTAAATTGATTTATAGTGTTATATTCTCCAATTTTTTCATCTCTGACTAATAAAAAGCAGGAAAAAATTGGGAAAAAAAACGATGTATTGAAAACTTTCAAAACCTAATTAGCTTCCAGACTTATAAAGACTATTAAATTTTGAGTTTGAAGGCATTAGTATATCAGTTATGTATTTTAGTCTTTAAATGAAATATCATTTATCATAAGATATTTTCTAGATTCAATAACTATCAAAGTTTTGGGACAGAATGATGTTATAGTGTTATTGCTTGAATTACACCGTCGTTGATTTGACCGAATTGATGCCTGGACATTGCCTGTGTTTTAACTATGTATAGTAATGATGGGTAGTGGCTAGCGGTAGAAGCCAGGATGCATATTTTGTGGTATTTAGGACTCACTAGTCAGCTGGATGTGTCTGCGTCCCAGTGAGTAATGTTGTTCCGATCGGGATTCGGACTTGGGAACAACATCACTCACTGGAAGGCAGGCATATCCAGCTGACAAGTCCTAAATAGTACGAAATGTGCATCCTGGATTCCACTACTAGCCACATTAATAGAATGATGTTATATATTTAGGATTTGAAATGCTTTGTTTAACATTTTCAGTCTATGCTTAATGTTTTAGAGAAAAAAGTTATATAAATGTCTATACGGATGATTTAACTAATGAATTTTTAGGCTCATTTATGTTATCTGCTTCTCAGTATGATCCTATCATGTCTATCACTAATCCAAAAGAAGATATTCCATTAATTACAACAATCATTGATAGGTTTGTTTATTCCTCATTTATCGAAAATCATAATTTTTTTTAGTGAAAATACCATAGAAAAGAGTAGTTCAGGGTTTAATTTAGATTTATTACATCTATCATTGAACAATTGCTTCAATCTTCAACATAATAATGAATATCAATCAGATTCAAATATTTCTAATTATATACATATGAATACAAACTTAGACGGTAATCTACTACTTATTCGATGTTGTCAAGTCATTATTTGTCTATTATTGTCATTGACAATGTTCAATGTTTTGATCTACATAAAAATGCATGAAATACTTAAAGTTTTTAATCGTTGTATAGTATACTTTATTAATATAATATAAAATAATATGAATAAGTAATGATAATTTGTTGTAATAATGACTGAATGATACACTTGAAACATTTTTAATTTGGATAAAGAATATTGTTTGAATTAGGTGACTAGTCAATATATCCTATTTGTAGAGGGATAATTCCTTCTACGAAAAATACCATCATAGTCTTCATTTCAAAGCTTAATAGTAAGCATTGATGAAGTTTCACAGTTTTTCTTTTTCAACTAATCAAAATATATAGCAGTTACTATTGAAGGTTTTAATTAAACCTAATGTAACGCATGTTTTACACCTTTTCGTTGTGGAACAATTAACTACTTAAAACTATAGACATTTTCAGTCATATAGTATGAAATCTCAGCTCGGTTATAGTAGAACCGTTTGACATTGCCAACTTGCATTATCTGTGGCTCCGACTGGCAAGATATCGGAATATTTATGAAAGGCTGAATATACTGTACTACAGTTCATGCCATCATGTTGTGAGGCTGTAAAACATGGTTACTAAAAGTAGAAGATATGAAGTGTATACAGGGTTTCGATATCTGATGTTTTCGTAGCATTGCTCACATTTGGTGGAATTACTATGTCAGTCAAAGGATACTAGATAAGTCGATTGATGAGGTTGTGAATATTCATCGGCTAAGTCGGCTTTGACATTTGCCATGCTAGGTGAAGCTATTTTAGATCGGAATAGCGATCAAAATGACCGGACCAAGATGTAGTGTCAGTCCATGAAGTCTCTGACTGATGATCTGAGTCCTGCGGGTAGATGTAAACTGAATTTGGGGGATTTGTGGGGACTTAGAGATATTTCAAGTTGATATTCATCGTAGACTGACATCAGTTGGAGGAACACTGGAAACCTGGGAGCACTAGACAGCTGTTTCGTACTATGTCATGAAATGACAGGATTTGGAAATATGGACCATTGCATTTCAACCCAGTGGCTTCATGGTAATGTGTTGGTCACAGAACCTGAAGGTCGCGGGTTCGATCCCCGGAGGGGTCATGGTGAGCACTGCTGAGTCCCATACTAGAAAGAAACAAATGTCCAGTGCTCCCAGGTTTCCATTGACCCTGCAATTGATATCAGTCTGTGATGAATGCCAACTTCAGACGTCTTCTACGTCATAAATATTCACACTAACTTTTATCTTCAATTGTGGTGATTCTTTCACACAGATTGGTCTACTATGATGTTACTGTTTTTCGACCCACTTTGTTTTTACGTATACTACTGTAAAGTTTGGCAACTTGAATGGATGTGCTTCGTTTACGAGGTTCTATGCTGATTCTTCTGTCTATCTGTCTATCATAGTACTTGAACTAGTTTGTAATGAAGTATATTTTGAGTAGTGATCCATAAGAAGGGTATATTGTAGTACAGTTAACAACCATACACAGTTACTTTGAATAATAAATATTGCAGAAAGTTGAATTTTAATGATTAAATTTTACAATAATTAAGTACAGTTTACATGAAGGGGTTGTTTAGTAGTTAAGGCTTAATCATCTATTTTGAGGGAGTTGTAGAGATTTGGAAATATTTCAAGTTGTTATTCATCGAAGACTGACATCAGTTGGGGGAACAAAGGAAACCTGGGAGCACTGGACAGCCGTTTCGTCCTAGTATGGGACTCCTCACCAGTGCGCACCCACGACCCCACCAGCAGGGACCGAACCCGCGACCTTCAGGTTCCGCGACCAGCACGTTACCATTGGGCCACTGGGTCAGAATCCAATGCTCCATATTTCCAACTTATGTTAGCTCACGATATAGCGCGAACCGCCACCCAATGTCATCGTTGAGTATCTGTCCTCACGGCCATCAGGATTTGACTCCACGGGTCGTGGGTTCGATCCCTGCTTGTGGGGTCGTGGGTGCGCACTGCTGAGGAGTCCCATACTAGGACGAAAGGGCTGTCCAGTGCTCCCAGGTTTCCTTTGCTCCTCCAACTGATGTCAGTCTTTGATGAATAACAACTTGGAATTAATCATCTATTGTTTTCTACCTTTACTCATCCAGAAGTATACATTAATCGCTTATGTAAAAAGTGTTTTCGATTATATTGTTATGTAACTGATTGTTGTAAATTTTGTGTTAACTGGAACCGAATCTCTTCAGTCACCGCTGTATAGTCAATTTTTCTGTTTATCAGTAACTGGCTTGTTAGAATCATTTCGGATTTTTCATCTTACACTGAGTAAAAGTATATCATCTTCTTCTATGACTTTTTTGTTTATTTTAGTAAAGTAGGGGGAATAACTAGTTTTGTACAATGTACAATGAATTTTATTATATATATATATATATATCTCATCAATTTCTTTTCAATTATGTACAGGTAATAAAAATACATTTTTATATATGAATGAAATTTTCATACCTTAATTATTGAGGAATAAAAAAAATTAGCCTATTGATGAAAACTAAAGGGAAGAAATGTTACAATTTTAGGGAGTTTAGAATGAAATAAATTATTGATTAAAATTTTTAAAAAATTCAATGATTTTCTAGTCAAACTTTTATTTTGTTACATATAAAAAAAGGTTGAAAAATACACTAAGAACGATAATATATTTGTTTTGATAAATTGATTATTAAGATACAAGTGGATTGACATGCTCTATTGGTTAGTTAAGTTGTGTATATGAAATAAGAATTAGGGACTTGTTTCATCAATTATGAAAGGTGAATGAAAAATACAAGATAAATCATTGATAATCATAGAGTTTAAAGGTTAGCGACTATTTGTTTATTGGATAATTAAATTTAGTTTGTTACTTCTAATAGCTATTAATTCTCTAAGTCGTTTACTTTAAACGTACCTGAAAACTGTATGTCATATCTTGTGTCCATCAAATATCTTGTCATAGAACATTTGGGTTAAATCGACTTATTATGATGCACAACTTGCTTAGAATATATCGATGAAATCAAGTTACAGCTCTCCTTTCCCTGTTATGTTCATATCAGCTGATAGATACAATTTATGGTGATTTGAGCTGAATACCTATTGATTTTCGATTACTATACTGAACACCTTAATAAACCTGTTCAGAAATTGTTTTTCAGACTTTTAATTCTTCTTCTGCTAACCCTGTTCATAAACTTATTCGTCTTTAAAAAAATGAAGTTGATCAACAAGTGCGTCCAGCATACAGAGGGGAGTCGAATAGTATCATTTTGACACGTAGGCTAACATCAGCCATTAAGAAAACATATTACGCGGTGAATCATATCATTGTGGAGAAAACAAAATACATGCTTCACTAAAAACCTAAACATTGCATCAATGATTACGTCACATCCCACTGTGTTTAGCAATTTACATGTGTGCGTGATCACACCTACATAAGGAGGAGTGATGGAGTCATATAGTTGAAGGTGGGGAGAACATGTACCTAAATGGCTTCAGAAACAAACAGAGTGTGAAACAGTGATAAACGCTGGTGGGAGATGACCCTCTTCATATATAACCAGAAATATCATGTTTAAACAGCTTTCAAAGTTTTATATAGAAAGAGTCAGGGATGTTTTCTGAGATTTGCGGACACCATAGCCATACATAAATTCAAAACACCTTTATGTGTACAGAAATAATTTGTTCTTATACTACACCTACCTTGGTAAACTTCATTTTCTTACCAAGATTAGGATTAACTAGGTCACTTCGTGTTTGTTCTCATCTTTCTTAATTTGAATCCCTTATTGTGTTAACTGTTGTATTTGTATTGGGTGATGATTAAAGGTGGGATGAAAATCTGAACCGCGGCCGGATTCGAACCAGCGACTACCCAGTACAACTATTGATCTGGCAAACTACGGCTATCTTAGATAGTCAAATCATAATTGATATATTTGTCGCCCCCCCCCCCACTCCTTGGTTTAATATATATTGACTTGACAAGTAAATGTGTGATCAAGTAGATTGTTCGAAATATGTATTGGGCAAATACATCATGTTGTTCAGATAAACTTTGTCTTCTAATTATCCTATCGAAATTCATAAAAGGGATCAGCTGTTTCAAATTATTTGCTTGTGTTATTTCCGCCTTCCATTGAATAATAAAATTGTCAAGATGACCATTTCTTTTCAAAAACCTTCTAGTAAACTCAAGTACTTCAACCAGTTTTATCTGATCAACAAATTTTTTATTTATCCCTAAAATTTCCAAGTTGATATTCATCATGGATTACCATCAGCTGAAGGAACATTCGAAACCTGGGAGCACTCAACAGAACTGCTTTGTCCTAATATGGTACTATTCAGCAGTGTACACCCAAGACCTCATCTCGCCAAGGATCGAATCCAGAACCTGACGGTTTAATGTTCTCTGAACTTTGCTTGAAGGTGGAATGCGAATCTAGGTGATAATAGAATTCAAATTAACGCCTTTTAGGTCAATTTGTACATGAGTTTTAAAATATATTCAAATCAACAAGATAACTTTAGAATGTTAACTAAATAATTTTTGGTACAGTAATCCTGTATGACTGAATCCTTGAGTTAGTTCCTCCAAGAACTTTAAATATTATGATATGTTAAGGTGTTATGCTATTGGCCTAGTGGTAATAAACATTATAGGCTGAGAACAAATTATATGGATACTTTTTTACTCGATGACGTTTTGAGCATACACTATTGCTGCTCATAATCATACCAATGTGTAATCACACTACTTTCGACATTTGATTTCTAATAGTTATATCACCTCATATGAGATGTTTTTATTGGTGGTAAAATTCCCCATATCTCTGGTATCTCTGATGTTGCATCATTCCCTTTTCTGGCGTTGGGTGTTGATTTGACGAACAAAGATTCAGGAATCAATCACTGTCTCTCTCTCTCTCTC